AAGTTTGGGCTCGGCTCGAGCCAAATAGGGCCGAGTTGCTCTGCCAAAAAAAGAGGCTCGGCTCAAGCTTTCGACTTGAACCTTAGTGGGCAGAGCCGGTTCGATTTTTTTCTTCTTTTATCTATCTAATCTATAGTTGTCTCAACAAAGAAGGCAGCCAAAAATAGATTTTTTTAAAAAAAGAATTTTTAAAGCGGGCGGCCTGTAACACGGGCCGACTAGCCACACAGGCAGGCCAGGGCTCTAGTGACGCCCTAAATGGGGCCCCGACTCAGTCTTTTTTCAGGTCGGGTTGTCCGAGTCGACGAGTTTTTTTGCCATCCTTACTTACCCTCGGTAAGAATGTAATTCGGAAAAATTGATGAGGAACAGGAACGTAAACAAAACGCGAATCTATTCACCTCAAATCAATGTAGTATGAAACATAGAAATTCAGAAGGAAGAATCTCTTCAAGAGAGAGAAGGTTAAAGAGAAAAAGTACAACGTGCCATTTTCTAAATAATCCCACTTTTAATATTGTCATCTAGACATTTGGGTCAAACTAGACTGATTCAATGAAAAAGCTAATGCATGTACACATTCTCTATCTTCTTCATTTTCTATTTTTTTATGGGTCAAACCAAATGGCGCCCCTTGTTTATTTATCGTCCCCCGGTTTGACCCGGGATCAACCGGGATTTAATCCCGGATCAACAAGCACGGCTCTTTTTTTATTATAGTTTTAAAATATCTAGACACTCTTTTCAAAGTTATGAGAGTTTACCGTCCACCTAGACATTCTATTCTTCCCTATCAATTTTGCGAGCTTGTATGTGAGGAATTAAAATCAGATTAAAATTGAAAATATAGCCGTTATTGTTGACTTTTATTAGACGGGTGGGACCCAATAACGGTCATATTTTCAATTTTAATTAGATTTTAAGTCCTCCCGAACGGGGCCTGCATAAATTTGTCTAGAATACATTTTGAAAAAGGAGGCTACAATCATTTTGCATGACTAAATACTCATTTATTAATAATACTAGGTGCAAGCAACGTGTAATACACGTTTGCTTAGTTTATATTTAATATTTTTGTAAAATAATTAATTTGTTATTAATAAAGATGTGGTTTTTTGGTTAATTAAGGACGTGTCTGGGCGCGCTGTA